TTAAAAAAAAAAAAAAAAAGAAGTGGCTAAGTTAGGGGGTCTCAGCTGGGGATGGTGTGCCCCCTCTAGGGGACACTTGACAATATCTGGAGATGGCTTCAACTCTTGCAGCCGAGGAGGGAGCATCTGGGGACAGAGGGTAGAGATGCTGCCAGGCATCCTGTAGTGCACAGGACAGATCCCCAGGCCCCAAATTTCCGTAGTGCCCGTACTGAAAAACACAAGGTCTAGTTGACTCGCGCGAACTGGAGTTTAGTTAGCTGGAGTTAACTAAGTGGGGCACATTGAAACAGTAGGATATGATATGTCACTTAAAAGAATGTCCTGGTATGGAAGGTCCCCAGGATGTACCATCAAGTAAAACATGCAACATACAGAAGAGTGTAGATTGATGAATTTTTTTTTTTTCCAAGAGATACACCTTTTTTTTTTTTTTTTTTTTTTAATTTTAAATGTTTATTTTGTGGGAGAGAGAGTGCAAGCCCGGGAGAGGCAGAGAGAGAGAATCCCAAGCAGGCTGTGCGCTGTCAGCACAGAGCCCAGTGCAGGGCTCAAGTCTCTGGAACTGTGAGATCAGGAGCTGAGCGGAAGTTGAAAGAGTCAGACGCTTAACCGACTGAGCCGCCCCGGTGCCCCATAAAGAAGACACACCTTCTATCATATGCTAGATTTCTCAGTAGGCACATGAAAATGAGGAAAAAGGTTTTTTTGGGGGGGAGAATTTGGTAATTTGACATTTTTAAAAATGGGGGTAGTAACAGCAAAAATTCCCAACTTTATTGGACTTCTTCCATTCATCTTCTGTGCGTTGATTTTTACGGTTGCTTGCACCTTTGAAGCTTCTCTAACAGGCTTAAAAGCCAGTACACAAATGAGAATGGTTCCCCTACTTTCATTTTTAATAAAAAGCCAACAAAAGTGAGCTGGGCATTGGAAACCGGGGCCATTTTTGACTTCTTGTTTTGTACTTTTCGGCATTTGCTAATATTGTGTATATTTGTGTGCATCTTAAGAAAATGTGTTTGGGGTGCCTGGGTGGCTCAGCTGGTTAAGTGTCCGATTTCAACTCAGGTCATGATCTTGTGGTTCATGAGTTCGAACCCCACATCAGGTTCTGTGCTGACAGCTTGGAGCCGGGAGCCTCTTCTGGATTCTCTGTCACCCTCTCTCTCGTTCTCTCTCTCTCTCTCTCTCTCAAAGATAAATAAAACAGTAAAAAAAAGAAAAAAGAGAAAAAAGAAAGTGTGTTTAAATCACCTTTAGTCCAAAACAGAAAGAGTTCAGAAAATCAGGGACTGTCTACAACAGCCCTTTAAGTGTCTATGTGTCACCTTGAAGAAGTAACATGGACAAATATTCATGCATTAATGAGAAGTGACAAAAGAGTTAATCCCAAATATGTAAAAAGAAAAAAGATCAGAAACCATGCCTGAAAATGCTGATTGGGACGTTACTACTCTACACATATATTTATACTTTTCACTCCCAATTTTTTTTTTACAAACCTTTTCTAAGGTAGTTTTACGAAGGGGAAAAGATACGTATTGTTTAGAGGTGCGAGAGATGCTGAAGGGTAAGCCACTGTGGGGACCTCTCTGAATTCAGAAATTTGGCCCCTGTTTCTTGATGGGGTTGCACGTCTGTTACTGGGTCGATAAAGGAGGAAAAACTTTTCTTCTTGTAGAAGAATGTCATGGAATTCCTGGCCCCGCTGAGACCAGTGGCCATTCGAATAGTGAGAAATGCTCACGGGAACAAGACAGGTAAGGCCGGTGCCAGCTTGAGGGGGAGGCAGGCGGTATCGATGGAGGCTCGGGGCAGCTGCTGGGTTTGCGGTTTGCGGGGCCCCGTTCAGTGGACGGGCTCAAGACCAGGGCCAGCCTCCCTGGCGGCCTGGCGGGTCGTCTTAACCTGTTCCTCTTCTCTCCCCTCCCCACCTCAGCCCACACTTGGGCTCGTCGGCTCACCTGTTCTGTTTAGTGAGATACCCCTGGGCGCTCGGGTGGTTAAGCGTCCGACTTTGGCTCAGGTCATGATCTCACGGTTTGTGGGTTCGAGCCCCGCGTCGGGCTCTGTGCTGACAGCTCAGAGCCTGGAGCCTGCTTTGGATTCTGTGTCTCCCTCTGTCTCTGCCCCTCCCCTGCTTGCACTCTGTTTCTCTCTCTTTGAAAAAAAAATAAGTAGACATTAAAAAAAAAAAAAAAAAAAAAAAAAAAAAAGCAGATGTCCTTGGTCCTGGGGTTTTCTGGGCCGGGTCCACAGGCAGCACTGTTGAGTTGCTGAGAATGTGTGGTGTTGCCCCTGTGCTGCCCTCTTCTGCGCCCCTTCCCACTCCTGGTGGCCGGCCCCCTCTCTAGGCTTCAGAGGGGTGGGGAGCATGCTGGAAAGAAGGGCCTGAGCTTGGAGAGCCTACCCGCTGGCCAGGCCGGGAGGCTGCAGGATACGGAGGAATGCACTGAGGGCCTCTGGCCATGGGGAGGCCGGCACTGGGCATGCAAGGCATCCTGGGCGAGAAGACTCTGGCATGGGCGGAGGGTTCAGGAACTGTGGCTGATGTCTAGGGACGCAAGGGCTCCTATTTTGGGGCGGGTCTTGTCATCTTTCCTCCCCGGTCTCTGAGCACGAAACCTTGCCTCCCAGGCGGGTCTGCTCCTCCAGCCAGCCCTCCCTCCTTGCCCAGCTCTCCAAGTGCGGTGGAGGACGGGGTGACGAGCGCCTGCCCGGGCTCAGATCCCAGCTCGGCCGCTCGCGAGCCCTGTGCCCAGGGATGAGGGACTTCGTCTCAGTTTGCTCAACTGTGTAGTAGGGCGTCCTGCCTCATTAAATTGTATTAACTCCTTCAGTGAGTTAGTACACACACAGCATCTAAACAGTGTTGAACGCCTACTGCACGCTCCCCAAGAGCTGCTATTAAACCCTATTGGAGGCTTGGGAACTGGAGGGAGCAGGCATGTGACCATGACGCTTTTGAGGAGGGGCAGAATGTCCCCTTAGAATAGCTGGTGAGGACCCAGGACCTGGCCCCCAGGCCTGGGGCTTGCTAATGACCGTGGACTTCAGCCTGGGTGCAGGACCCTGCCAGTGGCTTAAAGCATTAGGGAGGCCACAGTTGGATATAGAACGGACCCCTGGCTGGTGACAGGAGGGTCCTGGGGCCGTGGGCCGGGTGGGGCTTTGCAGCCCTCCTGGGAAGGATCAGAGCGGTAGGCTGGGCTGGGGTGTGGCAGAGGGGGAGGGAAGGGGGGAAGGATGTTTATGGGGACGGATGAGGAGCCTGCCTTTGGGAACAGACAGGAAGGAGAATCTTAGGAGGGAATAAACAGCCTTGTGATAGAGGCCTCGGACTGTGGGCTTTGGACGAGGTCACAGCCCTGGCATCTGTTAGCCCTGATGCTTTGCTTCCTGACAGCACTGAGGCCTTGTGTGAGGTGGAGGTGTGAGGCCTCAGTCCGTCCGGACTCCAGGAAGGACTCCTGGGTCCTCCTTTGTATGCACGTTGGGGCCTCAGGCGCTCACAGACAGTGGTGGAGATGGCCGTGCAGGCTCCAAGCTGGTCGTAACACGGCGGCTTCGGGCACGTCTCCAGGGAAGGCCATGGGGCAGGCCCTGGTTCGGGTGGGGTGAGGCTGGAAGGGAGGTGAGGGCCTCCCGTGTTCCTGACTCCTGTAGGCCCTCCACATGTACAGCCGGGCCACGGTGTCTCCCCGCTGGCTCCCTGCAAAGAGAAGTTTGGCCTGGGGTGGGGTGGGGGGCAGGAGAGTCAGCTTGTGTTTTGGAGACTGGGCAGAAATGGGAGATCCCCCCCCCCCCCCAACTTTCTGCTCAGGCTCCCCCGGACACCTAGCACAGCACGGGCACTCCTGGGTGACTCCCACCCGTGTCTACAGATTCTGTCTTTGTCATCGTCCCTCAGGGTACATCTTTGTGGATTTCAGCAGCGAGGAGGAAGTGAAACAAGCTCTCAAATGCAACAGGGAGTACATGGGTAAGGAAGCCTGCCTCTGCCTGCTCGCAGGGCTTCCTTCGCTCCTTCATTTGCCCCGTGAAGTTTTGTGGAGGGCCTGCTGGGGGCCAGACACTGCTCCTGACACGGGGGATAGAGCAGTGAGCGGAACCGACCTGTCTCTGCCCTCCTGGAGGTTAAGAGAAAGCTGACACGCGGCCGGCAGAGACAGGCAGATGGGCTGGGATTGGAGGAACCGCGTTTTGAAACAGGACTTCATCCACTTGGGCCTCACCCAGGTGACATTGGAGCAAAGCCCAGAGGAGTAGGGGAGCCGGCTCTGGCTTCGTGGGCAGGCCGTTCAGTGGAGGGGGCAGCAAGCACATGTTCCCACCGTTGGGGGGGGGGGGGGTCACCTGAACAATGTCCACGGATGCAGCCTCTGCTGCATCCCAGTGCAGACAGGTGATTCAGGGCCAGCCAGTGACCCCCAGTGAGGACACGAGTGCTGTTAGGAAAGGTGGGAAGCCCAAGGAGTCTTGTTAGTAAGTCAGGCGGTAAGTTTTCATTGAGCACCTACTGCCCGCACATGGAGGGGATGGTCAGGGTCTAATCAGGCGCACAGGGTGCTGCACAGAGACAGTTCTCCAGCGTTGGCTGTCACGTGACACCCTTGCCCGGGCAGAGCTGCGAGCCCTGCGGGGGGACCTGCCCCCAGAGGGGATGCGGCACAGGGGCCCCGGGGTGGTGGGGCAGGCCCCCCCAGGGTTGAAGTCGGATGGGTGAGATTCAGGGAGGGGGCCCTCCGGGTTCAGGCCCGCCACCGGCCCAGACTGCCACCCAGCAGTAGAGCCAGACCCAGCGCTGTCGGCTTGGCCGCGGCACCTGGAAGGCGGCAAGGGAGTGTGGATCGCGACCCAGCAGTCCCGGCAGGTTCCGGGCCTGCTCCGGAGCCCTGACCCCCTCCTCCTGCAGGCGGGCGCTACATCGAGGTGTTCAGGGAAAAGAACGCCCCCACGGCCAAGGGGCCCTTGAAGAACAGCGCCAAACCCTGGCCAGGCCGGACCCTCGGGGAGAACGAAGAGGAGGAGGACCTGGCCGACTCTGGGAGGCTCTTCGTACGGAACCTGCCCTACAGCAGCACCGAGGAAGACCTGGGACAGCTCTTCTCCAGATTCGGTAGGGGCCCCCGTCTCCTGCTCACCGCGCACGCCCACGGCACGTAGTGCAAGCCCACGGCCTGAGTTCCGGTCCAGTCCGCCTCCTGGGGGGCTCCTGACCATGGGCAAATGGCGTCACCCCTCTAGTCTCCGTCTGCTCATCCATAGATGGGGCTAATGATCCCTGAGCTGGGGTGAGCGTCGACATGTCACCTACATCGGGGGTTAGCAGGGCCCCCAGTGAAAGGTGGCATCACAGGCCTTGCGTGCTGTCGGAACTCGCCCTCTCCTGCCCTCACTGTCTGACCCCAGGACAGACGAGATTTGGAAACGTTTTGCGGAGCTTGCCCTTGCTGTCCAGACTGCCTCGCTGCTCAGTGGTTGAAGTCCGGTCACTGGTGGTGTGGATGTGACCGTGCTCTTCGGTCTGAGCTCCACCGTCTGAGGCCTCGCTCTCCAGACCGAGCGTCCCGAGTGCATTTGATGGCAAGGGTCATGTCCGCCGTCACGGTCGCTGCTGCCGTTCTCTCTCAGGCGAGAATTGGAAGGCCTGGGATTCGGCTTGGCACGCAGGGCTGTGTGTGTTTGTAAGGTCGTGGCCGTTGGAGGGAAGGAAGTGAGGGTTTGAGGTGGAGGGCGAGGCCTGGAAGCTTTGGGATCCCTCACTTCCGTTTGGAGGACGGCCGTGAGGACCTGAGCTCGGTTCAGTGCCTGTTATGGGGGCAGGGCGGCCCCGGGCAGGACTCTGCGAGCAGGCACGTTGGTATAACCTCCCAGCCCATGGCCACTGCCCTGGTTTGCACAGCAGGGCTGGGCCACACGGGCGAGGGGACGGGCAGGTGTCCGTTCAGCAAGATGAAGACAGAGAGGGCAGCCTGACGTTTAGGGTGGAAGCTGGTTCGGACAGGCTGTATTTAGAGCGTAATGATCACATCACAGCAGAAGCCTCTGGGGCACTAACTCTGGAGCAGCACCGTTCAGCACACTGCACACAGTGACGCCTTTGTGGATGTACTGACTGCTGTCCTGTGAGCTCGGTGCTCTTGGGGTGCCGTGTTATAGACGAGAGACTGAGGCATGTGGAGGCTCGGGGTTTGCCCAAGGCCACACACATCCGTGTGGAGGCAGGATCCAGCCCAGGCACCTGTACTTTGAGGGTAGCCGCATAAAGGACTGTGAATCAAGGACACTCTTGACCCTTGAGGTGGTCTCGTGCCAACCACTTGCCACATTGTTCCTTGGGCCAAGTGGCCGTGACCGACCCAGAACAGCAGCTGTTATGTGTTAAAACCCATCGTGTGTTGGGCCCAGCCCCGGCCCCCGAGATGCTGACGCCTCTCCTGTCCACAGGTCCCCTGTCTGAGCTTCATTACCCCATTGACAGCCTGACCAAGAAACCCAAGGGCTTTGCCTTCGTCACCTTCATGTTCCCCGAGCACGCCGTGAAGGCCTACGCGGAAGTGGATGGGCAGGTGTTCCAGGTGACTGCTCGAGGCTGGCGGGTGGCGGCTGGGCCCAGGAGGTCGAGAAGGGGTGCGTGTGCCCACGTGCACAGGCACCCACGTTTACAAGAAAACGCGCGTGATGGTGTGCGAAGCCACTCCTTTTTACCGGAGCCAGTGGAAGGTGGCTCCATGAGGGCAGGGCCCTTCAGCACCTAGGACAGCACCCGGCACACAGAGCACACTCCCAACTGTTTGTCACACGAACCAATATGCTGTCCGTCCCCAGAAATACCGCTGGGAAGAGAAATAAGGAAAGAGAGTTCGGACCTGGTCATATTAAATGGTCACAATAGGGTGCAAGAAACTCTTCCTTTTTTCCAGTGTTACCATGTAGTGTGCTTAGCAGGCCTGTTCAAGCCCAGGCCACCTCGAGCTCCCTTTCTCCTTTTTGCCCCAGTCATTCGTTCATTCATGATTTATTGATCTCTCCAGCTCGACCTGGCTCCTGCCCATGTGGTGCCCCCACCTCCGTGCGAGGGGACAGGAGGGGGGTTGCTACAGGCATTTTGTTTTTATTTTTTTCTTTATTTTTTATTTTATTTTAATGTTTATTTATTTTTGAGAGGGAGAGAGAGAGACAGAGCTCGAAAGGGGAAGGGCCAGAGAAAGAGGGAGACAGAACCCGAAGCAGACTCCAGGCTCTGAGCTGTCAGCACAGAGCCCGACGCGGGGCTCGAACTCAGAGCCGTGAGATCATGACCTGAGCCTTCCTCTCTCTACCCCCTTCTCACCCCCGCCCCCCCACAGGGCAGGATGCTACATGTGTTACCGTCCACCATCAAGAAGGAAGCCAGTGAGGACACTGATACCTCAGGATCATCGTCTTATAAGAAGAAGAAAGAATCTAAAGACAAAGCCAACAGCTCCAGGTCCTTACCTGCTACCAGCCTCTGGGCCCCGCCCCTCCAGCTGCCCGGGTGCTCTGGCCCCTTGGGATGGGTTCAGCCTCTCGCCATGACCTTGCCGAGCCCTGGTTTCCTCATCTGCTTAATGGGGGGGAATCACAGTGGTGCCTTGCTTTTTTGGTGTTATAAGAATTAGCTGCGCCAATATAAGCAAAGTGCTTAATCTGTGGCACAAAGCAAGTGCTGGTCAGATATTAGGGATTGTATTGTCCTTGCTCCCGTCTCTGGGCCCTGGGTGAAGGGCGGGCAGTGAGCTTACTTCTCTGGGGCTTTGTACCTGAGAAGACACTCCGCTCGTTCAGGCTTGGTCTGACCTCCCCGTTCTGCCTCTGCCTCTCAGCTCTCACAACTGGAACACGCTGTTCATAGGCCCTAACGCTGTGGCCGACGCCATTGCACAGAAATACAGCGCCACCAAGAGTCAAGTGTTTGACCACGTGAGTGGGCGTCCCATCCGACATGGTGGGCTCTGGGCCGAATGCCGGGGGGAGGGGAGAAGGAGCAGGGGAGGGGCCGTTGTTCGGGGGTCATCTCCAAGCCCCAGGCCTCAGGCTAAAGTTGTGGGCACCCTCGGGGCCTCGTCGAGAAGTGTCCCATCCATGATCCAGGCCTGTGTCTCCCGGGCCCGTGTGGAGCCGAGCCAGAGGCCACAGCTGATGACAAACACCCAGCTGGGTGGTCTCCTCGCCACAGCCCGGTGACCTAGCACTCCTCCTGTCCCACGTTCCAGATGAGGAAACAGGCCTAGGGACACAAAGCAGCTTGGCCAGGGTCATGCACCTGGAAAAGCCTGAGATGAGATGACACCAGGTCTGCCTGAGTCTGGTGCCCATGCACCGAGCCCGGTCACACGCCTCTCCAGGGCTTGCTGCACCCGGTCCCTCGGCCTGGGGCAGCCCCGGTCTTTGAGACGGGAAAAGAGGAGTCCTCAGTCTCTGCCCCGCTTCCTGTCGAAGTCCAACCTAATTCCAGCTGACTCGTTCCACCCATCTCTCCAGCGCCCTCACATCACAGGCCTTCTTTAAAACGCACGTGTGTGGTGGCGCCTGGGTGACTCAGTCGGTTGAGCATCTGACTTCGGCTCAGGTCCTGATCTCATGGTCCGTGAGTTCGAGCCCCGCGTCGGACTCTGGGCTGACAGCTCAGAGCCCGGAGCCTGTTTCAGATTCTGTGTCTCCCTCTCTCTCTGACCCTCCCCTGTTCATGCTCTGTCTCTTTCTGTCTCAAAAATAAATAAACGTTAAAAAAAAATTTTAAAAACGAATAAATAAAACGCACGTGTGTGTAGTGACACCACGGCGGAGTCCAACTTAGGCAGAACCTCCGCGTGTGTTTTCCAGCCAGTCAGCAAAGGATTACAGGGGTTTCGGCCCATAAGCCCGTTGACCCGCTGTCATTTACTCTTGCCCAACACTCGAGGTCAGCACTGTCCATTAGAACGAGAACGTGTGCCCCACGTGCACTTGGAAACATCCTGGTGGCCGTGTTTCTTAAAAAGCAAAAAAGAACAGGCAAGGTTCGTGCTCGTAATCTGTTTCATTTAGTTCAGTGGAGCTGAAGCGCAGCCACGATGTCATTTCAACCTCATACACAGTATAAAAGACAACAAGATACTTTGTGTTCGAAACCCAGCACGTGTTTTTTTGCTCCGAGCACTTCTTGATTCGCACGCGCCACATTGCAAGTGTTCAGTGGCCGGATGGGGCTCGGGGCCACCGTGTTGGGCGTAGGATGCGCACGGCCTGTTCAGATTCCACAGGCACCCCACACAGAGAGTCCTGTTCTTCCAGAGCCTTCCGGAGGAGGAAGACTCTGACAAACAGGCGCAGCCTGTCCGTGATGGCTATGAAGAAGTTAAGCCGAGTAGGGGAGAGGGTGTGCGAGTGAGGGTAGGCTGGTCACCAAAGTGACATCTCAGCAGAAGTTTGATGGAAGGAGGGATTGTGGGGTAAGCACCGGGCAGGCAGAGGTCAGCAAGTGCGGAAACCCCGAGGTGGGGATAAGTCGGCCTGCACGGCCACAGTGGAGGGTGAGGCATGAAGCTAGAGAGGTGGGCGCAGGGTCCTTGATTTACTGTGAAAGGCACAGAAGCCAGAGGCACAAATCGCTGTGGGTATGTGTGGGGCGTCGGCGGGGGGGCCCAGTCCCATCCGGCCGCCTCTTCAGGCTGTTGGGAGATGGGACGGCTGACTTGTCCCTTGCCCACCGGCTGACGGCCTCTTCCTTTCCCCTCTCCCACAGGAGACCAAGGGCAGTGTGGCCGTGCGTGTGGCCCTAGGGGAGACCCAGCTCGTTCAAGAAGTGCGGCGCTTCCTCTTGGACAACGGGGTCAGCCTGGACTCCTTCAGCCAGGTGGGTACCAGCTCAGCAAGTCACCAGCCACCGGGGAGCCGAGGGTGGAGTTTCAGATCTGGGTGAGCTGGCAGGTTTGAGGATCAGGCCTCTCAAGGATGATCAGTATTAACCCTTAAATTGTCTCTAAAGAAAAAAGTTTCACGCGGGCTCAGACGAGGGACCCATTTGACTTGGATGGTGTCTCTTGGGGGCGGTGTGCAGGAGGACTGCCCTGTGACTCACGGCTTCTCCACCCAGATCGGAGGGGCCCTGAACATCCCGTCCTCCCCCCCCCCCCAGCACCTTACTAAAAGCACCTGCTATCTGGGGGTTTAGACCTTCCTTGGACCAGGTAGGTTACAGACCAGCACTTAAACATGGCTTATTCTCCACCACATAGGAGATTAGAGTAATGGATGGTCGAGTCTTAGCAGGCCCGCTGAGGCCCCCTCACACCCACCCCTCCGTCACAAGACACTGAGGCCCAGAGAGAGGGGGGCGGGGGACTCAGAGGTCACACAGTGAGCCTGTGGCAGGAGCTCAGGCTAAATCTCAGCTTCTGACTCCCAAACAGCACTCTCGTCAGCCGTCCAGGCCCTCAGGTTTACCGTAAGAGGGCAGCTGGGAAGGAAGGCTGCGTGGGTATGTCAAGTAAATACACTAATAGCTGACAGTGGGACTGACCGCGGCGGTCGTCTACATTTGTGTGTTATTGTTGGGGTCACTCACCTGACAAGCCGGGAAAGCAGCACTGCTTGCTCCCATCGTGGCCCTTGGATGGGGGGGGGAGCCACAGGCACAGAGAGGCCAAGCCACATGTTCCGGGTCACAAAGCAAGTCAGGGTGGAGCCCCAGAGCCCACACCCCTAGCCATCATCCCCTGCGGCCAGAGTTGCACCTGAAGCCCACTGGGGTGCAGTCCTTCCCACCCACAGACGGCTTCCACCTCACCCGTCTTAGTCCTTCCAGCAGCAGCGGAGGCCTAGAGAATGGGCATGACCATTAGCTGGTCCATTTTGCAGATGAGAAAACAGAGGCCAGAGGGAAAGCAACTGACCCAAGGTTTCCAGTTAGATTTGTGGCCAAGCTGGGACTCATGCTGGGATACTCCAAGTGCCCGGGGTTTTTCCTTTACATCTTGGCTCCTTCCCGCCCTTCCCGTGTCGCTTTTCAGTACAGTAACCACTGACATTTACAGACCGCATGTGCTCTATGCACTTGGCTCGTATTAAGGCACATAATTAAGTCCGTCCCCGCAAGGGTCCCGTGGAATGGGCGCCGCGTCCTCAATGTTAGGTGAGGGGCTGAAGCAGTACATCTCTCGGGCTGGATGGCTAGTGTCTTCGTTTGGCTTCTCCCAAGAGCAGACGCTGAGACAGGGTCAAGTGCATGTAGGTTACTGGGCAGTGCAGAAAATACTGGTGAGAAAGGTCAAGGGGAAGGAGGTCAGCGTGGGGGGTGCTTATTACAGTGACTGCTGGTGCAGCGAGGGGGCTGAGCTTTATGGGGAAAGCTGCAGGGCTCATACCTCACACTTGTCCTGCCCAGAGGACCGGGGACGCGTGAACTCCTGAGAGCTGTAGGCTGCTCCCAGGGTGTTAACCCCTCGGCCCTTCCTGCCTGCCCCACGTGTGGTATCTGCAGTTCCAGGAAAAAAGGTTCTCAGCCCTGAGATGCACATCCTGGCCATTGGCAGTCTGGGCAGGAATGTTCTGGAAGGTCCAGAGAGAGCTGTGTTCAGGCGTTGTCAGAATCTGCCACAGCTCAGGAGGGGAGGGGCTGAGATTTGACCCGGGCTTCAGAGCTGGAGCCCTCCTCCCATTCTCTCCAAAAAGCTGCCCCCTGGAGCGGCGTGCCCAAGAGAGTGGGGCCTCAGGGGCCCGCTCCCCAAGCACCTGGCACCTGAGACCGCAGAGGGGTACCTGGTGCAGAGCCAGCCACAGATCAGGGCTGGTGTTGGGCTGGGGGATTCTACCGCCTGTTGCCCCACGTGTGTTCATTCCCTGCCCCGCAGGCCGCAGCCGAGCGAAGCAAGACTGTAATTCTGGTGAAGAACCTCCCGGCGGGCACCCTGGCGGCCGAGCTGCAGGAGACCTTCGGCCGATTCGGCAGCCTGGGCCGAGTGCTGCTGCCCGAGGGCGGTGTCACTGCCATCGTGGAGTTCCTGGAGCCCCTGGAGGCCCGGAGGGCCTTCAGGCATCTGGCCTACTCCAAGGTAGGGCTGCCGGGGCCTGCTCAGGAGAGGGCGAGGGGGCCGACGGACCCGCAGGCAGGCTGGTGAGGCGCTGTCTGCAGACCAGCCCTCTCTGACATGATCTGCCAGCTGCCCCAGCCCCGAGAACACCTCAGGGCGGGAGAATGTGAGAGGGGCGCCCTAAACATCCCCCAGAAACCTGGCCATGGCTCCTTGCCTGACTCTGGCTTCCCTTGGTTTTCCATCCCCGGGTGAATCGGGGCCATCATTCCCAGAGCTTCGGGTATCTTGTACTCGCAATAAGTTAGAAGTCACTCCTGTAAGCGGCCTGTCCCCTGTTTTCTGGGTAAAGAGGAAGGAACATTACATGCGCACACGCTTCTGTCATAGCGTGTTAGTTTCTTGCGGCTTCCGTTACAAATGGCCGCAAACGCAGTGGCTTTAAAACAGCAGCACTGTATTGTCTCAGTCGCGGAGGCCAGAAGTCTGAATTCCAGTCATCCTCGGGCCCTGCTCGCTCTGAGAGCACCCTTTGCTGCCTCTGCCAGAGGCTGGTGGCACCACGTGTCCCTTCACTCGTGGCCGTGTCCCCCCAGTGTCTGCCTCCCTCTTCACGTGGCCTTCTTTCCCTCTGTCCCGGGTCTCCCTCTGCCTTTCTCTTATGAGGACCCTTGTCATTGGGTTGAGGGCCCACCCCAATAACCCGTATGCTCTCGTTTCAAGATCTTCTACTTAAGTGATATCTGCAAAGATCTTTTTTCCAAATAAGGTCTTCACAGGTTCTGGGGCTTCGGATGCGGACTTACCTTTGCGGGGGTGTCACCCTTCAACCCGCTACAAGTAGCTTCTGTTTATCAGGCACTTTAGCACCACGCAGACTATCGGTGTCCAGTTCGTCCTTTCTTTAAAGGCAAAAACTCTGCGTGCACACACATTGCACTGTGGTATTGGCAGCTGGAGGCGGTTGGGGGGAGAATGTGGGTTTCTGACGGTCCTGATCCACTGTGCTATGCTTTATCACCAGTCCCCTTCCCTGGCCCATTCCGCTCCATTGACTGGCCAGAGAAAACACGAGGAGACACAAACACGTCCGGTGACAGCAGACGCTGGGGCCTCTCCCCTGAGCCCCAGGCTGCAGCCAGGGGGCCCCAAGCTGCTCTCAGGGATCAGGCAGCACAGAGGGCTCCAGGCTGTGCCTCTCCCTTTGCTCCGTTCCCCGGGGTGAGTCGTCCTTGCAGTCTGAGCCTCGGGCTCTTCCTCTGCAGAGGGAACTGAGCCCCTCCCCTGCCCCGTCTCTGCAGTGTCGCCACGTGCCCCTGTATCTGGAATGGGCTCCGGTGGGCGTCTTCTCCAGCTCCGCCCCGCAGAAGAAGGAACCCCGAGACCCCCCAGCAGGACCTGCGGAAGAGGGCGCGGCGGAGCCGGAAACCTGTAAGAGCTGAGGCCGGGGTGCCCTGGGGTGGCAGGCACGGGGAGGTGGGGGGTGGGCGCTGCACTAAAGCGTATCAGATGTCTGGTAAAGTTCTTTGTTCGTCCTGGAAACCGGTGCGTCTCGGAAAACGTCCTTCGACGGGTAGAACGTAGAATTACAGGCGGGACGAAAGTAGCCAGCTTTTCTGCTCGTCAGTTAAAGGTTGAAAAAAACTCCCAGAATCTACCAGCAGGGATTTGGAACAGAGCAGGTGAAAACGACCTTGTTTTATGCATCCACCAGGATGCCTGGCCAAGGAGGGTGACTCCAGGGGAGATACATACTCTCCAGGTCCTTAGAGTAGCATAGCGCCCCCTGGTCACCGACAGCTGCAAGGGCAGGGACAGCACCACTGGCACCGAGACAGCACAGTTCTTCTTTGTCGGACCGCTGTGCACCTTGCAAGGCATTTTGTGTCCCCAGACGCCACCCACTAAGTGTCAGGAGTGTCCCCAGTGCTCGTGACTTCCCGAAACACCACCTGCATCCCCTGGGTGTTCCCCAGATGCCCCCTAGGAGGGGAGAAGCACCCATGGGGCCATGACCACACCCTAGAATCAAAGACCTTGAGAAAAGTTTTGAAAAGGACCGGGGGTCCTGTTATCCACGTGTTGGGACTTTGCTCACCAGCAGCGTCTGCTTTCATACCTACCCCTGTAGGGTTACCCGTTTATTAAAATAAGAATTGAAAAAATAAGTCTCCCATCGGCCCTCTCCATCATCCCCAGAAAGGCTGTTTCACAGCAGAAACGGGGCGAGCGGAGTTCTCATTAAAGAACACTCCTTTATGGGCATCCGGGTGGCTCAGTTGGTTAAGCGTCCGACTTTGGCTCAGGTCACTGTCTCATAGTTCATGCGTTCGAGCCCCGCGTCGGGCTCTGTGCTGACAGCTCAGAGCCTGGAGCCTGCTTCGCATTCTGTGTCTTCCTCTCTCTCTGCCCCTCCCCTGCTCCCACAAGGTCTCTCTCTCCCCCTCAAAATAAACAAACATTAGAAAAATTTTTTTAAAAATTGCATTTGAAGAACAGTCCTTTAATTGATTAGAGCTCACAGTCCATACCTGCCCCCCCTCTCCCCCCGGCCCCCGACGCCAGGCTGGCTGCATTTGTCACGTCCTTGTGAGTCAGCAGAGCCTTCTTCAGGACTAGCCCAGTCAGCACACGGCACTCGGAGCCACTGGTGTGGTGTCTCTGTTCCGATCAGGAAGGGCCATTCTTCAGTCTCTGTGTTTCGAGGCTCCGGGAGCCTGCCTCCCTGGTCAGCAGGGTTACTGATTGTTGGTGTGAACCTTCCAAAGCCCTTCCCTACCCCCTGTTGGTGAGTTCGTTTTGTCCACACAATGGATTAGGGTTCCCTTCAAAACCTGCTTCCGTCTCCATCAGAAACAATTCTTGTAATGTAGTCATGTTTTTTTTTTTTTTGATTTATTTTTTATGTTTATTTTTGAGAGAGAGAGAGAGAGAGACAGTGCAAGCAGGGGAGGAGCAGAGAGAGAGGGAGACCCAGAATCTGAAGCAGGCTCCAGACTCTCAGCTGTCAGCACAGCTGACGCGGGACTCGAACCCACAAACCGTGAGATCGTGACCTGAGCCAAAGTCAGATGCTCAACCAATGGAGCCACCCAGGCGCCCCAGTGACGTAGTCATGTTTCCTACCCAATGAGCCACCACCCTAAAATCATCAGCGGCCTTAGAGTTCACTTGCTAAACCCGAACCTGACTGATATTTTTTGGCCACAGCGAGCCCTCCTTTCAAGCTCGCTGATTTGCCGGAAGCAAAGGACCCTCTCCTACCTGCTTGGCAGGACCACTGAGGCTGGTGCCTCCCTCGGCGACCACTGCCACGTGGCCACACTCGTTTGCGTGTTTCCTGGCGTGGCCCTCCGTCCACTCGGCTCTTCTAACGCTCATTTCGTTCGTCGGTTTTTCTTGTTGAATATCCACGGCGAGCCACGAGGGCAAGGCGCGGCTGTCTTGCGCCCTGCCGGGGGCCCCGCGCCCTGTGAGGCCCCAGGCCTAGACTGGCGCCGTTGAACGTGTGTGGATGGAGTGCATGGTGCCCGAAGAAGGGTTTCTGCACCTCTGTCTGGGCCCGTGAAAGGCGGGGGCTGCTCCCCCTGGCCTTTGTGTCCCAAGCCTCTGGCCCACGGTGGGAGCTTGGGGACGGACGGTTTGTCGTCCGGTGACAGCCCGCGTCAGAGCGGAAAGGGACGGTCACGGCTCCCGCTGTGCGGACCGATTGAAGCCCACCCCATGAGCTACCCTCTGCTGTGTTGTAACCTTTTCCCGCTTCCTGGGGTTGCGCCTTGGACAGGCTCATTTCCTTGCCATCCATCTGTTTGGCTTCCCTGTTAGCAAGTCCATTCCGCAAGGCAGCTGCCTTGTCCGCTGGCTGCCCGGTGGGACAGCGGTGCGGATGAGTCCACGGGCGACTGCTCCATGCCGGGCCTTGCGCTGAGCACTTTGGTGCTTCCGTGCGCAGCGCAGAGCTCCTGGGGAATCTCCGTCTTCCTTGTCGGCCCCTCTCAGCCCTGCGGCCGAGCGAGCTGCCGTCCTCTGATGCTCAGTTTCTGCATCTGTAAAATGGGCATGATGACCATCCCGACCTCCTGGGGCTCTGGGGAGGGTATGGTAGATCACCGTTCCTCCGCCTCCGTTGTTCATTCAGCAGCCGAAGCCGGAGCGGATGGCCTGTCATTTCAGCGGCGGGCACCGGCTTCTGCTGAGCGGGGCTGAGCGGGGCTGACCCCAGTGGGTGCGGCACAGACCCTCTTGCCCAGAAGAGGCCCGAGGGGCACAGACAGGGCTGTTGGGGGGGCGGCTGAGATGTCACACTAGCAGTAGGAATGGGCCCCGCGTACAGAAGCATTCTGGAGCTCACTGCGCGGGGGCTCTGCCGAGGCGTCAAACCCCAGTCTGCCCCGCTGCACCCCGCTTTCCGGGGCCTGTGTGGCCGTGTTGAGAGCATCCCACGCAGACTCCGGCCCGGCAGGCCCTGCCTCTCGGGGCTGACGAGACTCACACAAAGGAGGCCACGGAGCCCGGTGGCAGGCCCGATTTCAGATGCGAAGCTGTGCGTGTCTGGACCGATTTCGGGCCCTGCCGCGTCCCCCGTTACTAGGTGAATTCCCACAGAGCTCACCTCCTGTGCCTCCGTTTGCCCTTTCTGTTCCCTTCCTTACACGAATCGCATCCATGACCCTCTTTCCAGCCTCCTGTGCTCTTTTTTCACATGCTCCTCCCCCACACTCGCCCGGGCCTCCACCTTGTTCCTGAAACTTCCCCGACCCCCGTCCCCGTTGCATGGGGACTCAGCCAGCCCCCAAGCCCTAGATTTTCTCAGGCTCCAAAGGAAGGGAGCGGGGAGGGGAGTGGACGGAGC